GGCGAGGGGAGAGAGCACGGGCGCGTGAGGGCCCGGAGAGTGCCTCCGAGGGCGTGAGGAGGGGCAGGCGAGAGAGGCTGACGTCTCGGGGGGCGTGCTGCAGGCGGAGAACATGAGCCCGCCAAACACCTTCTACCTCTTCACGCTCCTCTCGGTGCGGGGAGGAGCCGCGCCGCCGCACGGCGCACGCACAACCGCCCACGCCGCCTCTCTCTGCCGGCAGGTGCTCTGGAGCCTGCCCCTCACCCTCGGCCTCGAGGCGCGCGGCGCGGTCGCCGCTTGGTGCGGTGCGGCCCCCAGCCGACAGGCGTCCGCCTCGCTGCTCAGCCTGATCGCGCAGTCGGGGCGCCTCGCGTCGCCCCTCTCTCGCGTCGCTGGCCGCGACCGGCCGCCCACAGGCGCGTGTCTGCTCTAGGCTGCTCTTCACAGCCTACACCGAGGTGCAGTTCCAGGCCCTCGACTCGGTCAGCCCGGTCACGCACGCGGTTGGCAACACGATGCGGCGGGTGCCCGCGTCACGCCCCGCGCCACCGCCGGACTCATCTCTCCGCGCTTCGCCGCGCCGCGCCGCGCCTCGCCTCGCCGCACATGCCTCGCACATGCCCCGCCGCCTCCCGTCACGCCTCCCGTCACGCCTCCCCCCCCTCCCAGGTGGTCATCATGCTCGTCTGCATCGCCGTCTTCCGCACGCCCGTCTCCCTCCTGGGCGGCGTCGGCTCAGCGATCGCCATCGCGGGCTCGTATGCCTACGCGGCGGCCAAGACAGCCGAGAAGCTGCAGGCCGGGGCGGCGGCCGCAGCCGAGAGGGCGGCGGGGGAGGGCGAGGGGGCAGGCGAGGCGGCCGGGGCAGCCCCCGGTCGCGGTGTGGGAGGGGGGCGGGTGGACCATCCGCTGCTGCCGCTGCTGAGGGCGCTCGGCCGGACGGGCCTCTGCGGCTGAGAGAGGGCTTGGCTTAGAGAGGGCTTCGCGCCGGGGACGCGTGGGCTTGGCCCGATAACACATGTCTCTGTGCGCCGGTACTGCGCAGTGTTCGCATGTCGACTGGGGAACGGCTCGAGAGGTTGCTCTTTCTCACTGTCTCGACGTCGATCTCTCGCGCACTCTCAGAGACTCTGTCTATCTCTGCGATGTCGCGAAAAAAAACGGCGCGCACATGCATGTCGGTTATATGACACGCCTCGTTCATGAACTGACCGTAATCGCATGGGTACTAGCACACGTAAACCAGACAGTGCTCCTAATAAGCACTCTCGATTATCCTCAATCTCTGTTCGGTGTGCGCTGTGTCTGTTGCACTCCAAATACCATCTCAGTTCTCAGGCCATGCCTTCACAATTCCACGAGGCAGCGCGGCGTCAGAGGTGTCCGCCCTCGTCGGAGCTACGCCGGCGCCCTCGACCGGGACCATGCCGCAGAAGACCGAGTTGGCTGCGGTCCGCTTCATGGACCGTCCAAACTTGCCGTCCATCGATTCGAGCTTGGTGGCCTGCTTTGTCGAGACGCTCGCCTCGGCGGCCGTGTCGTCCGTCGTCGGGTCTGCGATGTCAGGCGTGGCCTCGACGGGAATCATGCCGCAAAAGACGCTGTTTGCAGCTGTCCGCGACTTGGACCGAGCAAAATCGTTGAGGCACTGCGAACTGACGTGCTTCGTCGGCGAGCTGACGCTCAGCGAAGCCGGCGAGGGCTCGCTCGGTGAAGCCGTCGGGCTAGTTGGCACGACCTTGCCGACAAAGTTGTTTGATCGCATCATACCGCAGAATTCACTGTTTGACTGGCTCCGCGCCTTGGACCGCGCAAAGGTGCCATCAATCGACTCGAGAAGAGCAGCTGGTGGCACAACACGCGCTGTGGCACTGGCAGTCGGCCAGCGCGCGGGGACAAGCGCGTAGGCAGCAAGGCTGAGGGTGGCAAGCATCGGGTTCAGAGAGAGTGATTCGCACGAAGCGATTCGCATAATTCACAGATTTTTTTGAGAGCGCCTTTTTTATTATCGCCGCCAGTCTCGGATCCCGAAGCGAGAAGACGCGCGCAACTGTGCGGTGAGAGAACGCGCGCTCAAGGACGCTATCGCGAAAGCGCCGCCGCCTACATCGCGACAAGAAATCTCTCTGCCATCGCGTCGCGTCGTTTATAGATTGATTTGCAGCCTTGTGTGTGAAAGAAAAACCCATGCTCCCGAGATACATCCATGCCTCTGCTCGTGTTCACGGCCATTGCCCTGGCCGCCCGCGGCGCGCCCCACCGCCCGCAGCTATGCTCCACGCTCAGGCGGGCGGCACAGCCAACTATGCTGCACGCAACGGACCCCAGCCTGCTCGACGTGAGCGCCGTCGTAGCGCATGCTCAAGTGCTCATTAATGCACAAGTGGCCTCCCTGGCAAACCTGCAAACGTCTGGCATCTACTCGCACGCGGCGTCCTCGCCCTTCTGCTCCATGCTCGGCGTCTGCCCGCCGCCGCCTCCGCTCTGCTCGGCGTTTGGCATCGGCTGCCCCGCTCAACATAGCGGGCACCCCGACCTGGCGAGCGCTCTTTCCTCGGCGTACCACGGGGCCCTCGAGCAGCACTACTACTCGACGACGGCGGCGCAGGCCTTTGCGCTCGTCGGTGCGGGCGACGCGCTGTCTCAGGCGATCGAGAGGCGCGGCGGCGGAGGAGGAGAGTACGACCCGGCGAGGACGGTGCGGATGGCGGTCCTCGGACTGCTGATCGGCGGGCTGGGCACCGCTTGCTGGCTGCGCCACCTCGAGGCGGCGCTGCCCGGGCACGACTCTGCGGCGAGGGTCCTCCAAAAGGCGGCGCTCGACGCGTGTGTCTGGGCGCCGTTGGCAAACAGCGGGTACCTCGTCCTCACGCCGCTGCTCGAGGGGAGGAGGCCGGAGGAGGTTGCGTCGATGGTGCGTGCCCGCTTCGTGCCGGTGATGCGGACCGAGCTCTGCACCTTCTTCCCCTACAACCTCGTCTCCTTCTCGGCGGTGCGGAGGCGTAGCCGAGATGCCGCCGAGCAGCAGCGTCCTCCCCCCCCCTTCTCGGCGGTGCTGCTCTCTGTTGACGCCTCGGGTTGCGAGCAGGTGCCGCCGCTGCTGCGCCCCTTCTCCACCGGCTTCGTCTCGATGTGCTTCGCCGTCTACATCTCGTGGATCACGCACAGGCGAGAGGCCATGACTACGCGCGAGCAGCAGCAGGCGGAGGCCACGGGGTGAACGGTGGAGAGGCGCAGCTCAGAGGCGCCGGCTCTCGCGTCGCGGAGACGCCGGAGATACGACGCTGCGCCAGAGATTGAGCGCGCCCTACGTAGCGCGCGCCCCGCCTGGCGGGCCTCGTACAATCATGCACTTAGGTGAGAAATGGATGAGACACACCACATGGATGTTGACAGGATCGGATCCGATTGCTCCTCTCTGCGTTAGGGCCATCTTACATGCACTGACTTACTCTGGCGCGGCCGGCCCCCCCCAGTGCGCATGCCTGTGCGGGAGCAGCCTCTTCAGCGCCTGGGCGACACATGAATGTCCGCATGTTTCTTCTGGTTCTGCCCTTTTTCAATTCTCGTTTTGTCTTTTGATTTTTTGTGTGCGGAGGTGCGGCGGCGCCGGCGCCGGCGGTTGAAGATGAAGTCGCATACGAAGTAACTTTTGCATGGCATGCCGTGTAGGCTGTAGCGAGAGAAGCGAGACGCGGGAGTGGCAATAAGCAATACAATCATGTAAGAGGGACGGCGATGCGCATGTAACCGATAGAACCTCACGTAGAGCCGTAAGAGAAACTTGAGTATAATCGGCACCGCGGGCGCGCGGCCCGCGGCAAACCGGCATGCGCGATATGCGGAGGCCCGGGAGGGGGGCACGCTCCTGGGACACACATGTAACATGTAGACATATGGGCGCGCACTAACGGCCTCAGGGACGGCGTCAGCGGTACGCGGGAGCGGCCGCGCTCCTCTACGAACCCAGCCTGCGGCTGTCGACGTAGACCGCCTTGATTGGCTCCATCGCCTTGATGAGCTCCTCGTCCGAGCGCTCGGCGAGCACGGGCCACCGGTCGCGTATCGCTGGCCAGAGCTCGTCAGGAACGGGCAGCGCACGCTCGCTGCGGAGCATGACAAAATAGGTCATCGGGAGAGGAGGGTAGCCGTCATTGAAGAGCGACTTTGGTGCGTCCTCGCGGATGGTGAAGCGGTCGGCGTAGGACGGTGCGTCGGCCAAATTGGGGTAGAGCCGTCCGGGAGCCTCGTCGCTAACGCTGGCCTCCTTGAGCGCCGCCAGCTCTGCCGTCGATAAGTCACACGGGTTCGCAACGTCGCCAATGATCTCGTCGACAGTCTCCTTTTTGAAGAGCGAGTCGAGAAAGCCGAGACGGACAGCTGCGCGCGCGGGCGCCGCCGTGAATGCGGCGCGAGGGCCGGTCGGCGCAAGCGCGGTGACGAAGAGAGCGACCCCGACAATCATTGCAGCCCGGAACCTGGTCGCCACGGTGCGCTTCTGTAGCTCCCTGGTCCTGGCGCCCAGGGGGCCGGTTGATGACGCACTCCAGCCGGCTGTTTTTCTTCCTTTCCGGCCTGATCACGACGCAAGCATTACCGTCACACATCCACCTCAGTGAGATAAACTCGCCCTCCAGAGCAGACTGGCGCAAGGCGACACGCGGCCGGGGCTCAAAGCAGAATCTTGTACTTCTCTGACGGCGGCACGTGGTTGACGACCACTTTGCCGTCGAGCGAGAGGGAGGCGAAGATCCACGCGTCGGCGGCGGACCTGCTCGGATCGGCGTGCGGCGTGTCGAGGCGCGCGTGTGCGGCGGTGCGACGCACAGTCTCCTTCTCGGACGGCGCACCAGACGGCTCCAAAGACGGACTGCTCGTGGTCGGTGTATGGCCGCACGATGCCGTCCGCCTCGACCTCGGACGGGTCGGCCTCCTGTTCACGGCTGCAGCGTGTGAAGAGGGCCGGATCGCGGCGCGGCTGTCCGGAGCGGCAGCGCCCTCTCCTCGTAGTCGAGGCTGGGCGGCGCAGACGAGATCGCGGCGGCGCGCCACAGCTTGACCTGGCTCTTAATTAAATGAATGGAATGAATTACTTTAATTAATTAGCCGCGCCACAGCTTGACCTGGCTGTCGGTGCCGCACGAGAGGAGGAGCTGGTCGTGGAAGCGGTTGTACGTCGCGGAGGTGACCCAGTGGGCGTGCGCGAGCAGCGAGAGCACCTGCGCGCGCAACGGGCGAGGGCGGGCCTCTCTCGGCATCGCGACGCCCTCCACGGCGGCGATGCTTGAGGCGGCGTCGCGTGAGGAAGCGTGGCGTGCGGCGGCGCGGCGGAGTGGACAGCGCGTGTGCCGTGAGACGGGACAAGGCACCGGCGTGAGCGGCTTGCGCAAGTCCCAGACCTTGACGTGGTAGTCGTCGCCTGCCGTGGACGTGTCGTGGACGAGTCAGTGGCGTGTCGCGGCCTGGCGGAAGGCGCGCCTGCGTGCTGCTCGCCAGAGGAGAGGAGCGTGTTTGGCTTGTTCGGGTTGTAGTCGAGACCGCGCACCTGCGGGGGGCGGGCCGCTGATCACCACGCCGCTGATCACCCCGCTGCTCACCACTCCGCTGCTCGCCACGCCGCTGCTCACCACGCCGCTGCTCACCACGCCGCTGCCCCGCTGCCGGCGAGGCGGGCGGCGACCCCGCTGCCGGGACGCGGCAGCGCGGGGCAGAGTGCCGAGTCTACGGGCTGGGGTGCTGGGGTGCTGGGGTGCTGGGGTGCCACGAGGGGGTGCTGGGGGCGGTGGTGGTTGCTGTGGCTGAGGTGGTCGCTCTGGCTGAGCTGTGGCTGTGGTGGCTGGCGGTGCTTCGGCGCCGGCTGCTCGTGCGCGTCTGCGACGGCGACGGCGCTCTTCATGGAGCGCCTAGAGGGAGGTTCCGACGAGGGTCAGGGGTCGAGGGTCAGGGGTCGGGCTCCCCGCAGAGGGTAGCTGCAGCTCGGCGTGTCGAGCGTGAGCAGGTCCGGCTATCTCTCGGAGGCTGTCTCTCGGCTATCTCTCGGCCATCTCTCGACCATCTCTCGGCCATCTCTCGGCCATCTCTAGACTATCTCTCAGCTATCTCTCGGCCATCTCTCGGCTATCTCTCGGCCATCTCTCGGCCATCTCTCGGCTATCTCTCGGCTATCTCTCGCGTGTCGAGCGTGAGCAGGTCCGACTCGCAGGCGAGAGCGAGGGCGTGCGCGTGGTGCGGGTCCCACCGGCCGCAGCCGAAGGAACCCTCCTCGCGCGGCGACGGCGCGGCGCCGCTCTCGCTCGCGGACGAGGCCGCGGCTGCGTGCGAAAGGCTCCACAGCCGGACGGTGCCGCGGTGGAGCGAGGCGACCTGTGGCGAGGGGCGTGCGGTTGGGCGGCGGCGGGGTGAGTTGGACGGGGCGGAGGTCCGACTCCATCGCAGCTACTCTGCCGCAGCTGCTCCACCGCAGCTTCTCTGCCGCTCCGCTTCTACTCTCCGGCGGCTAGCCCCGCCGCCGCCTGCTCGGGCAGCACCGGGTTCCACAGCACGTCGACCGAGTCGCCGAGCGCGCAAGGGCCGCCGAGCTGCAGCAGCTCGGCCAGCGGCGCCGGCGCGGGGGCGCCGCGGTGGCCCGCCTCGGGCGCCGCCTCCCGCTCCGCCAGCCTGTCCATGCGGTAGAGGCTCGTCCGCTGCTCGGCGCCGTCCGACGATGTGGCGAGCACCAGCTGGACGTGCTCGGGCGCGGGGCAGCAGGCGACGCCCCAGACCTCGTGCGGCAGTGCGTACACGAGCGGGCACCACACCTCGTTCGTGTCCTCGTTGAACTCGACCACGTGCAGCTCGTTCTGCCCGCGCAGCACCAACGTCGCCGCGACAAACGTGTTCCGGTCCGTATCACCCTCAAGGGCGGCTATGCAGCGCGCCTGCTTCTTGAGATCATAGGAGGCGGTCCCGGTCTCGAAGGGCAGCCTGTGGCGCGAGGGGCGCGCAGTGAGCGGTGAGCCGGAGGAGCTGCAGAGTGTGCGAAGCGCGCATGTTGTGTTTGCGAGAGCGAAAAGAATTAAATCGTACCTTTGGATCTCCGTCCTGTGGACCTTGCAGCGAGAATCGGCGAGAGACTGCGAAGAGAGATAGGAAGAGGCAGACTCCCTAGGGTGGGCGACGGATAGCGCACCACACACCGCTCTGTGTCTTGATTTGCCAACAACATACCTAAAACACACCTCTCCTTAAAATCCCTGTGTGGTGGCGGCGTGCCGTCCTCCCATCCCTCCCTTGGGTTGTCTGTTTTCTTTCTTTCTTTTTTCCTGTCGAGCTGTTCTTGCCGCACGTCTCTTCCTGTCTTGCGGAATCGACGCTCGATTCGTGCGTGCCCTCTTTCTTTTCCCCCCGTACCTGTTGCCGATCCCAGCAGCACTCGGATTCGAGAGAGAGATTTTCGGTGTGTGGTTTTTTTGCTGGCCGGGTATCATGCCGGGGTAGGTAGGGTAGGGTCTCGGCCCTCCCGTCGGGTTTTTCCCTCTCTCACGCCGGAATTTTCACAGCAGAAAAAGAATTTTCCGCTTAAATCACGATGTCAACCCTCCCCAAGTCGTTGATCTGGTGCTTGTAGGGCTTGAGAGTGGCCTGCCATGTCACAGGAAGGACTGTGGTTGCAGGATAGTACCACCAGCCATCACTTTAGTTGGTATAGTACCCCACCTTCACCCATCCCGTGATTTCTTTTTTAGTTTCCCATAAGTAAGGTAGGTAGGTAGGTAGGTAGGTAGGGGCAGGGCAGGGGCCGGTTAGGTTTTTGCAGAATTTCAGCATGATACCCGGCCAAGCAAAATCCAAAAAACTACACCCCGGAGATTTTTAGCCATTTGTTTGAGAGAGAGAGATTTTTATTAACCAATTCTTAACCAATTCTTCTCTTTGTTTGTCGGATTCGACGGGCCAAGCTCGGCTGGGCGGAGGTGGAGGCAGCCATCAGGGTTCCGGCTCCCAGCCAGATAGGGGGTCTGTTGCCACTGAGTCGCGCCAAAACGCCCTACCTACCTACCTATTGCGGGCGCCAACCGCCAGGCTCCGTGCCCCACCTACCTACCTATTCGCTATTGCGGGGCCGCCGGGGGGCCGCGCAGCGAAGCGAAAAATACCCGTCCCGAGTTCTGTGAATAGGCGCCGCCTCCGCACCCGTCTCGGCTGGCGTCCCAGCCGCAGGCGACACGTCTGGCATGGCCCCGTTCGCGGCTAAACGCGCGCGTCTCCCGCGCGCGAGACGCGCTTTTTTTACACCCCCCCCAGGGTTCCAACTTTTTCCGGGGTATGGTATGGTAGGGTCGCGCATGCCAGCTCAAGACCATACCCCCCCGCCTGCTGGCAGACCTGCTTGGGGGTATGGTAGGGCTAGTCTTGGGCGGGCAGGACCATACCCCCTACCCCTTTGGTACGACATACCATACCCCGGAAAAAGTTGGAACCCTGGGCCGGCCGTCGCTCGGCCCAACCTCGGGCGCGAAGCCTTCTCGCGCCTCACCACCCCGCCTCTCGCCGCGGCGCGATGTGCGCCTCGCCCAGGACGCCTCCCGAGCTGAACATACCTCCGGCGTCGGCCTTCCGGGCCGCCCCTCGGCCGTCTCGCGCGGCCTCCTCCCCGGACGTGCGCGAAGGGGAGGGCCGCAAGCGCCGCAACTCGACGCCCGACGTGCTCAGCTCCAACATGCTGATCGCGTACTTCCAGCGCTTCTCTGCCGTCGCCGTCATCTCGTCGGTGGTGCTGGCCCTGCTCGCAGTCATGCCCACCATCATCCTCTGCGTGCACGGGCTCGTCCTCCATCTCGGAGGCTGCCCCGACGGTAAGCGCGACGAGACGCTCACCGGGTGCGGGCTCCTGCCGACGGGCTTCGCCTCGACGGGCACCATCTCGTGCGTCGCGTCGAGCTTCGACACGCCGCAGGGCCGCGTCTTCTTCGGCTGCATGCTCCTCTCCTCCATCACCCTCTTCATCTCGCAGTTTCCGTTTTGGCTGCCCCGCCGGCCCGTCTGGCGCCTCCGCCAGCCCGCGAGCAGCCACCCCTGGCTCGACGAGATGGAGGGGCGGAACCGCTTCATCTGGCTCTTCGCCGGCTCGCTCTTCATGGCGGTCGTGAGCATGGTCAACGTGCCGCACGACCGGCTGCTCGGCTACAACATCGTCCCCTCCGCGATCCACATGGGAGGCTTCCTGTCCGGGATCGGGGTGCCGCCCCCCCCCCCCCCCCCGGCCGCCCTCCCTCTCGCGGCGCGTCGCCTCCTCACCCCCTCACCCCCTCACTCCCTCCCCCCTCCCCCCGGGCAGGTGCTTCTCTTCATGGAGTTTTACCACCTCCACTTTGTCGAGCTCGCCTTCCTCCGCTGGCGAGAGATGGCCGAGAGATGGCCGAGATGAAGCCGAGATGAAGCCGAGATACAGCCGAGCTCGCCCTCCTCCGCTGGCGAACTCCCCTTCCCCGCCCACGGCCCGCCGCAGCCGCTCTCTCGGACCGCCCCTTGCACCGAGCTCCTAGGCCGCCCTACCGGCTCTGGCGCGGCGCCGAGCTGCCCGCGTGGGTCGAGCGGGGCGGGCAGAACCCGCGCGAGCTCGGCGAGCTGAAGTGGGACCAGCGCTGGCGGTGCGCGCTCTGGACCGCCGGGATGGGCTCGTGCGCTGCGCTTGTCGCGCTGCAGACGCCGCTCGCGCTCGCAGCCTCCTTCGACAGCGTGCACTTCTTGATAGCCTGCGGCTCCGTCTTCGCCGAGGGGATGGTCGGGCTCTGCGTCTACGGCGGCCTCTTCGTCCTCGCGGTGTGGCGGCTGCAGGTCGTGCGCAGGGCCGAGGGGCGGCGGTCGCCCCACTATGAGGACCGGGCGGAGGACGAGCTGCCAGCCGCGCAGCTCTCCTCCCCGCACCGCATGTCGTCCGAGTCGCTGCGCGCTCTCGCGAGCCAGCGAAGGAACAAGGTCGACTAGCCCGGTTGTCGTGTCGCCGTGCAGGCTGGTTGGCGGAGCAGTCGCGGCTCGCATTAGTTTGGGGAGCCCCTGCGCGGGAGAACAACGAAAAAGTGCTTTTGTGGCACTCTGTGCCGTCGTTTAATACTCTACTAACTTTTGATCTGTGCGTTTCTGTGTGTTTGTCACAGTTGTATATTCGCATTTGTCGCGGAGCGAACATACGTCAAATGTCTCGGACAACGCTCCACAACCCCAGTCACACCCAAAGAGGCCAACAGTCAACCCCCGAGTCGCCGCCCGAGAGCTCGGCACTGATTGATGCACAGTCTGCGCGCACAGAGCTAGATGTAGAACGCACGGGCGGGGTTCCTTTTTACCCATCTCCTAGTAGACGTCAGTTTTCTTTATTTAGCTCACAACTCTCCGAATCTCGACCCGCGGTCGGCTCGGGGAGGCGGGAGCTCGGTCGCTCGCGCATCTCACGTCATCTCGCGGCACGCGGGTCGTCGGCCCCCCGCTAGCAGGTGCTCGGACAGCCGTGACATAGAACCGTGGCTTGAAGTCGACCGCGTCGCTTCACGCTTCGAGCTGCCCAAAAAGGGGGCTCCGACGAGTCGCCTCCCGAGCGAGGTCCACCTCCACCGGCACCTCCTCGAGCCCTGAGTAGAAAGAGAGCGGCTCAGGCGCCTACGGGCAACGGGCGCCGATCATGGACATGGTACAGCCAATCGTGACCGAATCATGTTTGGCCTCACCTTTCCGTCATTGGACGCGGGAGCGGGCTGACACCTACACACACCACGGAAAGGCAGGGCTCAGCTTCGTCACTCTTCGCTGGCTGCTCGATCAACGAGCATTATGCACGGTCTCTCAACAGCCACCCAGCTCTCTGGAAGAGGAATTGGGGACGACTCTGGCGCTGCAGTGGGAGAGTATTCGGAGGTTAGGAGCTTGTCCGTTGGCTCTAGCACTTGCTTTGAGGGCTCGCTCCGATCCTCGATGAACCAGGCCTTGGATCTAGCTGCGCTGCCGTCGATGTTCCAAAGATACGTAGCGACAGCAAGCACCAGCGCACCGACACCCACAAGCAACGTGGTGGAGAGATCCTCGTCCGCTTCATGTTCGGCCGCGGTGCTGCTCTCGTTTGAATTTGCGTCCAAAGCTGACAAATTGTGATGTGCATTATGATGCGCACGATGAGGCACTGCTCCAAGCACGGTGGCAGTGAGGGGATGGAGGCTATGCCGCAGAAGAGCAGAGAGCGTAGAGGTAGACGCTGCAAGTTCGGCACGCAGGTGCTGCAGAAAGAGTACCGCCCGTCTCCGCGCCCGTGCGAGGTACGCAATGAAGGCGCGCGGCAGCAATGCGTTCCTCATCGGCGGCGTGGCCGAAGCCAGTCCAAACTTCCAAACGCGGCCCGTGATTAACCACGAGTCACATGTTTTCTGGGCACTGAGCACTGGGAAGGGTCGATTCCGCATGGTAGAGCTCTACGGGACCCCTCGATCGTCTCGCCCTCCCTCGCTGGTGTGTTCATTGGGGGGGGGGGGGGGTCATAAGCTCAAACAAACACGGCGCAGGATCAAGCGAGGATTGATTCGAGGTGGACGCTGCTGAGAAGCAGTGTCGTCCCCCCTCTCCATCGTCTCACTGGGAGACGGGGGTGATGGCGGTGTGACCGATCGAGCTACCAAGAGGAGCTTGTTCAGCAGGATCCGGGATAGTCCGATGCACTACCTCACTCTGGGCCTGAGACGCTGAGACCATCAACGACAGCATCCCCTGTCACCCCTTCCTCCGGATTTGCGTGGGGTCGAACCCGACCCCGGGATGGGCGCAAGCCCATTATTTTGAGTCACGTCAGGTCACGTGTCCTTTCACCTGTGAGAGGAAGCGGAGGGTGTGTGCCCTACTTTCGCCTCCATATGTTTTCTCTTAATGATATAAAAGATCATGGATGATGGGGTAAACTCGCGCAAGAGGAAAGCGTTGGACAGGAAAGGAAAGAATCTTACACGATCTACTTGCAGTCACCCAAGTCCCCAGTTCTGGTCGAGAGTACACGATCTGGTCGAGAGGGGTAGGTGACCTGGGCCTCTCGGAACGGGCGGTGCAAGCGTGCGTCCAGATCGGCGTGTCACGCGCCAACGATGCTCACGGCGACGCTAATCCCTTCCCCAAGCGCCCTCGCCGCCACGCCCCACGCGGGAACGAGGCGAGTTCATTATTTTTTTTCAGTGTATTTTTCTCTCTCTCAGTTAAGCATTTACGTACATTCCCGGAGGAGGACTGCTGACGGGGTTTGGGAGGGTAAGAAGATGAAAACTTCTAGGAAAGGGTTGGGGTCCAGCCCCGGGTTTGGGGTAGGGGGTATAGGGGGTAAGGGAGTCGGTCCCCACTGGGACGTCCGTTACACGCCCAAATCAGGGGGCAGGGGGGTAGGGTATAAAGAAAGAAAGAAAACAGACACCCCAAGGGAGGGATGGGAGGACTTCACTGTGCTATTTTATTCGCGAGCGGTTTTCTTCCCCTTCTTGCCCGATGAGTGCGCTGGTCTTCATCGCGAGCTGCTGGGCTGCGCCACCCCGGCCGCGCCTGCACCGCCCCGTGCCGATCCACGCTGCCGTATCGACTGCACCGACTGGCCGGCGCGTCGTGCTCGGATTTGCTCGCTCCGCCGCCGTCACTGCCGCTGGCGCTGCACTTGCAAGCGGTTGTGGCGCTCGAGCGGCTGGCGCTGCTGGCGCGGCGGATGCGACGGCTGAGTGGTACGTGGGTGCGGAGTCGGCCACCGTGCTGCGGTGGGTCGATAAGGACACTATCCCACCCGGCGCGGCGACGGCCATGGAGGCGTTCTACACGCTCGAGTTCACGACGTACCTATCTCGCTTCCTGCTCAACTTTGACGCCGACTGCGCGGCGTGGTGGGAGACGCGGATGGCGGCGATTCCCGCGAACCTCCCGCCGGACAAGCAGACTTCGCGGCGCAACGCCGCCTTTGGTGCCTTCTCTGCGTCGGTCGAGTACGGTCTGCGCCGCTACCCGGGCGCGAGCGGGCCAAAGGCTCTGCTCCGCTCGCTGGAGCGGCAGCACGGCTCGGACCCGGAGGCGTGCCGGCACCTGGCGCTCGCATTCACCTTCCTCGACGAGCGCTCCCAGCCGCGCGACGATATCGCCCGCCTCGTCCGCCGCGTGACTGCGGGAGAGAGCGGCGCGACCGGCACTGGTGTGCAGCAGAGACGAGCTGAGACGTGGGCGGGATCAGCCGAGGTTTATCCGAGGAGTGGCCGATGCTAAGCCGAGATGCAGTCGATCCAGAGCGGCAGCGGCTTGTCCGCCCCGCCCCAGCGGACTGCCCCACGAGCCTTCTCCTTCCTTCTCCTTCCTGGAGCCGTCTCTTCCCTTCTCTTCCCCGCTGCCGCAGCCTTCTTCTTCTCGTCGCCCTAGCCCTGCCCTTCTCCCCTTGCGGCTGCAGGCGGCTCGGTCACCGCGATTGTGCCTCCCGCCTTCTCGCCCGGCCTGCCAGACTACTTGTGGCAGGTCCCCGCCGCCGGGTAGAAGTCATTCGGAGACCCATTCGGAGCATTCGGAGACCGACTCGGGCCCGCAGCAGATGCAGATGCAGCAGCAGATGCAGCAGATGCAGATGCAGCAGCAGCTCGCGGCTTCAGCCAGACCGCCTTGCGGTCGCAGGACCCCACCGCGCTGCTCCCGTCGACGCAGCTGCCGGTGCGGACGCGCAGCGGACTGTACGAAGTGCGCGGGCTCGCGCCCTTCCTGCTCGACGGCAGGCCAACTCTCGCGCCGCCGCCCGCCGCCGGCCAGCGAATCGCGCGAGCCGGCCGTCCTCGGGCCGCGCCCTCGGCAAGGCGTTTGCCTGATCTCCGTCGGAGCGGCGGCTTTAGGCTCGCACGACTGTCTTCGGGCCGCGCGGTGACGTGGCGGGCGAGGAGCGGGCGCTGCGGCTGGCCGACTTTGCGCTCTTCGCCCTCGCCGGCTGCGCGGGCTGCGCCGGCACCGCTCTCCGCCCACCCCCCTTCTTTTCGGCCCCCCTTTCCTGTCCACACCTCGGCGGCACCTCTAGGCACCCACTCCGCCGTGATCCCGCTGGACGTGGTCAAGACACGGCTGCAGACGGCGCCAGGAAGGTACGCCACCCTCCAGGCCGCCTTCGGGGACATCTTGCGCGAGGAAGGGGCGGAGGGGTTGCTGCTCGGGGCGGCGCCGACGCTGCTAGGGTCTGTGTCGACCCCCCCCTCGCTCCCTATTTAATGGACGGGATTGGGCTCATATCACGCGCAGAACACTCAGATCCCTGTTAGGCACGTTCCCTCCGCGCTTGGGCTGTATTGCACTAACCCCCCTTTCACACCCCGCCGGCTGCCCCCTCATACCCGGTAAAGTATCGTGTTGGGTCCCATTCTCCTGAGAGACTGTGCATAATACTACCATTTTGCCC